TGAAACATGGGTATAATGTTAGAAAGAATTCACAGTATGAAGAGACAAGATAAAAACACAGACGTATTATTCATATCCGTACTGCGAACCCAAATGCTGCCCATAGGCTCTCAAGGAAGTGCAGCCCCTCCTGAGCCCCTACCTGAGGCTCACTCCCTGCTCAGCCCTGCTTCTCACCATCGCAGCCAGCCCTCGTCCAGCTCACACCAACACAAAGCAGGGCCCTATTAGGCCCTTAATAAAAAGCCAATATCTACTGGTTCCCTCATTGATTACCATCCGAATAGTCTCCACAATTTCACCAATCCCATCATTTCCATATTAGTTCTTAACATGCTCTTTACTATAGAGAACTACAAACATCTTCAAAAGTAGAGAGAATAGTATCATTAACTCTTAAACACCCCTCACTTACCGATACCTGGTGGGCCTGCCCTCTTCTCCTGCTCACTTTCCCCCACAATGAATTATTTTACAGCAAATTCCAGAAAGACCATCATTTCATCCATAAATACTTCAGGACATTTCTTTAAAAGAGAAAAACTCTTAACAACACTAGCACACACCCACTACTATCATTTCTTAATATCATTAACATAGAGATGGTTTTTTAATGTTCCCAATGATGTCAGATATTTTTTTGTTTTTATAATGGGTGTATTTGAACCAGCATTGAAACATGGTCCATGCACGGATCCTGGTCCCTTCTTCTTAAATCTCTTTCTTTCTTTCTTTCTTTCTTTCTTTCTTTCTTTCTTTCTTGTGGTATTGGGGCTCAAAATCAGGACCTTGTGCTTGCAAGGCAGGTGGCAGAACCCCTGAGCTAAATCCACAGCCCTTAAATCTCTTTTAATCTGTAGCCACCTTAGCTTCTTTCTCCAACAAGTTCCAGCCCAGGTATGTATCTCTCTTTCCGACACAGAAGGTATCCTTTATACTCTACTCTGGAGTCAGGATGTCCTCAGCCACCATGCTACCGCCTGCAAACACCTAAGTCCAACTCCAATACTGTTTTCTCCCTAAAACCCACCCTTAACTGCCACCAGCCTGCCTCCCAAGCACAAGCCAGCAGGGTCTCATACAGGGTCTTCTAGGGCACTATATCTAGACCTCACCATAACCTACCTCACCTCCAGTCTCCTGGTGGGGCACATGCTGTCCAACTTCTCCTTCTAGGTCTCAAAGACCTTAGTGCCACACCCTGCATTTTCCCTCCTCTCTCTGCCCTCACCCATCCATTCTTTTATGAGATATGTGTTACATAATTGCTGAGTTTCAGGCATTCTGAAAATGCCTAGTGATCCCCAAATTATATTTCCTGACCCAAAAATATTAGTGGCTGTTTTACCTTCTTCAAAATATATGCAATTAGCCCTTCCAAGATAAATGTTAACATGATGATATTGCTCTTAATGGACAATTTACTTTCATGAGATATCAATTTACTTCAAGAGACCCCAAAACAGTCCAATAATGCTCAATCCTGGGATTGCTGGGGACTCGATGGACGTCTTCCCCTTTGTCTGTTCTTCTCTCTAATACACAACACTTACCACCATCCATTAAGTACCAAGCCCATTGGGGAAGCCAAGTGGGAAACAAGGACAGTCCCCAGCACGGCAGGAAAGATAAAAGCAAGGGCAAACTGTCCAACAACACCAGGTAATCCAAGAAACAACCAGGTAATTTCCCAAAGGAGTTGTGTTTAACCTGAGCCTCCTCTCAGGGAAACGAACCCAAGGAGAAGGGGGATTTTTCCCTTGCAAAACGTGAACAAGCATAAGGACACATAACAGAGTCAGAAGTATGCTAGGAAATAAGGCACCAGAGTCCTGACTCGGTAGAATCCCTTTTTCTGACAGAACCACTTCTCTATAAGCAGGGAAGTCAAATCACCTATGTCATAACTCACTCCGCACTGCCTGCTGCTGAGTTCCAATGTTTTCTGCTGAGCAGTCCATCCCCCCTGGCCAGGCGACCGTGAATTCCTGTCCATGCAGCGATCATCTGTTCTTTAAAAGATGCAGCTGTTCTGGTCTCCAAAAAACTAGTACACAGTATCTTTTTGGAATACCTGCAAAAGGTTCTTAGTATAATTTGACAGTTTTCACCAAATGTTCTAGTAATTTAAAACTTTTAGTGCTCAAGCCTGGGCCAGGATGCAGTGCTTGTTAAATAGAAGAGCACTTTAGAGGTTTTTGGCTCAGGTTAGTGGCAAAAGTTAGAAAAACTGCTGGGAGGCGGTTGGGCGGCCTCCTCAGACCTATCAAGGAAATGAACTTTTTAATGCAATTCAGTTCCTTAAAGAAATGTCAGCTTTTAGTCACAGTGGTTGACAAGTGTGTCCCCTGGGGCAGGGAAAGGCTAAGTGTCAGTGAACAAATTACAGAAACGCTCTTTACCAGATTAAAAAATTATATTTGATTCCTTCTCCAAATATTTAATACAATACTCTTAAAATTCTATTCTATAACACCATCATGTAATAAAGTGCCAAAAAGACAGCATTCGTCTACAGAATGGGCTTTTTCTGTGAAATAGAACACTCAGACTCTCTCAGCCATCATCTTTAGAAGAAAAGGCTATGAAGAAATAACACATTCGTGAGTCTCTTTGAAAAATGGCAAGGAAACTCAAAAGCAAGACATGGAGTAAAGCCGAGTTCTCTAAAAGACCTCCTGCATGCCCGCTGGACCAAACCCACCCCCAAACCACCTGGCAGGTGGCTCTATTCTCCTGCTCAGCATGCGATGAAAGGTGGAAGAAATAAATACCCTAAAGACAGAACTAAAAGAGAAAGTGTGGACTTTGAAGCTCAATGCTGGATCCCAAGCAAAAGACCTCAAGTCAGTAACATCCACCGATTTTTATTGCTCATCAATTGGAGTAGAGGTGAGCTACGAATACAGATGTGCGGTCAGTGCAGTTACTGTGGAAATTAATGCAGGCCAGGCTCTAAAGAGAAGAAATGAACCATTTTCAAATTAGAAGCAAGAGAAACAAAATATATGGTTCTAATGAGAACACTGTCCTTCTTGTTATGAAGGCAGGCACTGGTTGTGGGGATAGAGTTTGGCTGTGAACTCCTCTGACCTTAGCTGTGATGTTATCTCGTATCAGCCCCACAGCTTCCCAGGCCATTACACTGGCCTCAGCCATGGCCATTAGTGGGAGGTCACGCTCACCCACACGCTCCCACAGTGCTCATGAGATGCTTCTGTGAGTCACGGGACTTCGCCTCCTAGACTAAGCTAGTCGAGGGACTGAACTTATGGCCTGAACTGCTTACAGCATGCTTTGAGCATAATCCATATTGCAGCTCCCTGCAGTAGGGACTTGATCCCTAGAGGGGAGCAGCTTTGGGTGACTGTGTCCAGGTCCTGCGCTGAACCCTGGCCCATGGTACCATGACTCCTGGCCAGCAGATGGGCTATGTAAGGTCTATGGGATTTTTAAATTTTAAATGAACAGTTTAAAAATGGGAGATCTCATACCAACATCCAGATTATCTGGCTTCTCTTTAAAAATGGAGAGATCTAGAAAGATGGGAACAGGGTGGTCAGGTGAAAAGTGGGAGGCAGTCGCTCTCTGCATGCTCCAGGAGGAGAGAGGACCAGTGGAATCCGGGGTCTTTAAAGGTGGGATCAAGCAGGGACTTCATTACCTATCGTGTGGTCAACTCAACACAGGAATCATACAAGTCACTGAAGCAGACGCCACCACGAGCCAACTATTGAGGGGAGAGGTACTGGCAGCAGAGCAAAATCTGACCTGGGGCAAAGGACCTCTGCCAGGACACTCTAGGAGAGCCCTGTCAGGTCGGCTTCCTGACTTCTCTGCCAATGACACATGTCTCAACCGACCTGAGTCCTTTGTCCAGACCGATGCGACTCCGTGAATTACACAGCAAGAAAACTGAGCTAACACACAAAGGTCACCACGCAATGCCTCGGTCCTCCTGGGGAGTGCAGTCCCTGGTGGCAAAGGTTCTCCCACTACCTGCTTCCTCCCTCACCCACACACTTGGGACAGACCCAGGAAGGATTCTGCTGCCCACTAATGAGCCACCCAGGCTGTATCACATGACCTGGGGCTGTGACACGGAGACCGAGGGGGTGGCAGAAAAGAGAACCCCAGACAGGGAGCTCACTGCAGAGACCTGAAGCGTCTTCATCAGCACGTGAAGGCCACAGCAAGGACACCAGGCTGACACAGCAAGGCAAGGAGAAACAACAGATGGTGCCCCATCAAAGCCACAATGATTAAATCAGTTCTGTTTTTTCCCATCAAATTAAATCAAATCTCAAACAAAAGCTAAGACAGACAAATCAACAAGAGGCTTTTTTTAAGTGTCGCAAAGTTATAATAACCCTGAACAGACCCATTCCCAGACTTGTCACTGTTAGAACAAACAAACCCATCTCTCGCTTCTTGTCATCTGTGATTACCGTGACATAACTGAAAATCAGTGAGGCACAGTGGGGCTGAGTTGTCACTGTGGTTCGCACAGAATAAACAATACCAAGAGTACTTTCTTCAGCAGTTTTAACCTATATGTTACAGAAACTCTGAAAATTTTATATTCTGCAATTTCCCCCTTTCCCTAAAGAGGTGATGATATTTCAAAACATTTTCCCTTCCAAATATCGTTCTTCTCTTCCACAGACAATATGCGGCTTGCACCAAAAGACTTCAACATAATTTAATATATATTTGTAGAAGCCAAGAGTTCAATTACAAGAAAAATCACATTGGAAGGGTTTGAACAATTCAGCCAATTAGCCCACTCGTGACTTTGCTGAGAGCCTGAATTACTGCACAACAGGCTGCACATGGTCCAGGGGTACAGGCCAGGTGGGAGTGCGAGAGGATCCCGGACACCTGGGCCCGTCTGCAGCTCTGTCCTGCAGCAGAGTCTTGCCGTGCCCCAGGCCTCTGACTTGACCGCCACCTTCCGCTCTGCCAGGCAGGACACAAGTCGGGCCGCTCACCCTCACCTTCTGCGGTGCCTGTGCTTACACACTTACAAAGTCGCCAGAACCATGAAGCTTATGCTTTTTTAGCAAGCTCTGGCTCCGTGAGCAGATGAAACTGAGTCTCACTCCATAATTAAAAGGAGAGAAACTAGCCAGCACTGGTGTGGGAGAGGTGGTCTCAGCCCTGCCTCCGTCCCCCAGCCACACGCTGGGCCCCGTCCTGACCCCCTCTTGTCCCTGCCTCCGCAGACTCACCTTGGTCGCCTCCTCCACGCTCTCTCTCAGGGCCTGCAGCTCTGTGTCGTACTGCTCCTTCAGCCGGTCCATCTCCTGGTCGTGGCTGGAAACCTCTTCTTTCAGGGCACCCTTCAGGGCAGTGAGCTCACGCTCTCGCTTTCTCAAGAGATCTTCCAGCTCCTCTTTGGCAATGAGAAGATCGTGAAGGTCTCGCTTTGCCTGCAGAAGCTCCTAAGAGATGAAAGGGGACAGAGGGGTGAACAGTGGACATCTCTGCAGGTGGCTCCACCGGGGTTCCTCCAGGCCCCCCTCCCTCCGACCAACAGCCATGCCTGCCTTTCCTTCTGCCCCGCTCGGCTCCCATTCCTTTGGGCTGCTCTGTCTTAGCTTCTTTGAGACGTAATGTGAGGGAGGAAGGGGAAAGTGATTTAACTGCTATTGCTGTGAGGGAGCGTCAGGCCCTGCAGCTCACTTCACTCCTGCGTGATGTTCTGCTGTCTTTGCCATGACCCTGAGTGTGCTGCGGCCGCACAGGGCCACTCAGACCTCTTGGCCTTGCCTGCTTCCTACCCTGTGCACTCCACCCACATTCCATGTCCTCAGCACGACGGTTCCCCTCTCACTCGAGAGGAGCACGATATTCACATGTTCTCTTCCTTCACTGGCAAGAATGCACAAAGAAAGTCACCCAGCCGGGGCAACGGGCTCCATTTCAAATCCTATTACCTCCACCAAGTGCCTGGCCAGAGGCTTGGCCCTCCTGGGGCTGAACCGTCCCATCCCAGCCCCCCGGTGCTGCTCCAGCTCAGGGCGCAGCCTCCCTGGACACCTTCCCCCACTGATCTCCACTCTCCGTGGCACTCCAGGCCTCCCCACACAACCCTTCCCAGAGAAGCGAGTGTCCCCGCCAGCCTGCCCAGTTCTCACTCCGCCAGTTGTCTTCTGCCATTTTGTTCTTTCCCGTTGCCTTGCATCTTGGCTCCCAAGAAGCCCTGCCACCAAACCTTCTGAAAGAATTGCTTCTACTCACAGCCTCTGCGTCATGACCACCCTCTCACTCCTTACCTCCTCCTCTGTGACTGTGAGTCCCTGCCATGCTGAAACAGCCCTCCAAGGTCATGCTAAGCACCTCATCTTCCTGTCCTTGATCCTCCCCGCCCTCCACCTCAAGGTTCTCCCCGGCCTTGCAGTCCAAAGACCGCACGCTCTCCTGTCTTCTTCTCTTGGGCCATGTTTTCTGTGAGGATCTTTTCAGGCTTTTCTCTCCCTCTTTCAAAAAGCTCAGATGATCCCCAAGAAAGCAACTTCGCATTCTTTCTTCTCCCCTGACGAGCTCATCCATTTTTTCCAAACTATTAATTCTACAAATCTCCCTTCCTAGGCCGTCAGCTTCTTGTGATACCAATATAAAACCGGTTTATCATATTCTTGATGCAAGAATCGCGGTGTTAGGAGCATCTGTCTGATCTGGGAATTAGGTAACATGTGCAGCACAGCAAGGGTCTGGCGTGTCAGAGACCTGGACCCAGTCCATCCCCGCAGCGCAGCTCTGAGTAAGAATACGTGCTGTTCTCAGAGGCCCAAGAGACGGAGGGAGAAGGAAGAGAGGGAGGGGAAGAGAAGGATAAGTAGAAAGAATTAAGATGTGTTATGTACCTGTACCAACTTCTCACGATGAGTGTGATCACTATGTAATTCAAACATGGCATAATAAAAATAAAATAAAAAATAAACACACCCTGTTCTCTTTGGGGACATTGGCATGCAAGACAATAAGCTGCCCTCCACCAGGGATATGTGTCCCCACTGAGAGTACAGAAGCATTTGGTCCAACTAAATATGACTGACAGTGAAATCTCTCCACATTGCCTAGGAGATGTGGCTCCACTGAACCAGGGAGATCCCAGGATGGACTCCACAGCATAGGCTAAGGCTCGGCCATCCAAAATCCACCCAGCACACACTGACGAGCGCCAATGAAATTGCAGACCCATCTAGGTAGCTAGGGTGGCTCTAGCTCTTCCATACCAACATCTCACAAAGATACATCCTGTGCTGATATCTGTCAGTGGGGACACGGCTGCCATTGCCTGCTGAGGACAGAATCCCCACCCCTCCAGGGCTTCCTGCTCTTCTGGACCCTTCTGCTCTCAGCCTCTCAGAGCAGCCCTGGGACTCTGACCCTATTTCCTGCTCTTACTCTCACACATTTCTCAATTGTTTGGGCGATAAAGCAGTTCCTCTTCCCACACTTTTTTTTTTTTTAGAACATATCTGTGTTTCGCGTTGCCATGGTGGAGGTTTCTCTGGCCCATCCTACAGGCTGTTATCTGTTGCTTAAGTGGATTGCGCTGCACAAATCCAATCAGATTACATCTTGCGCTATCACGCAGTAGTCCTTGGGGCTTTCCAGAGCAGAGATTGAAAGGCACGGGAGGTTTCAGGAGTTTTCAAACACCTCTCTCCATGACCTCAGGGCTTAACTGTGTAAGTCAAAGAAGGAAAGAAAAATACAAAACTTCACAGTGTACATAAATATCAGGAGATGAATGTGCCTCTTTGTAGACTCCAATCATGGAAAGCTTTGGTTCTTTACAATCAGTGCTTCCTAAACCTGGATGTACTCAGTTCCACATGTGACAAGTAGCCAGGAGATTAAAAAAAGAAAGAAAGAAACCTAGTGTGCATGCATGTGTTTTGGAGGGGGACAGAAAAGTCGGCTGTGTTTGCTGCCTAATAAGAAACATGCTACACATTTCCAAAGACTCAAGACATCATTTCCAGATGACTCTTGGAGGAGATGAATATCACGCTGGAGTCTGAGTCACTGACATGCCTGGGATCCCCCGGCTCACAGACAGGCGAGCCACAGTGGTGAGGAGATCGGACTCCGACTCCCTTTGTCTTCACCACACAGACACACACTTGGGAGCAAAGAAAGGCCCTGGGGTTTGTCGGGTGTAAACAGAAGAGTGCGGTTTGGACAAGCCTGTGGGGAAGTCCGCCTTTGTAAACCAAAGCATAGACACGGAACCAGAACCCAAACGCCAAGAAGGAAGGAAAGCAGCCATCCAAGCAACAGCCGTAAGAGACAGGCACCTGCGTTCCAAACACTGCCTTGTCTCAGGTCCTCCGCTCAAAACGGAGGAAACATGGCCCGACCTCTTCCACACAAATGCCTCCCCGAAGTCCCAGGGGATCGGTGAAGATCGAATCACAGGTTTTGTCCCACAGTGATACCTGACAGCGAATCCTTAAGAATGCACCACAGTGGTCAAGAACCATGACCTTTCTTGTTGCTTCTTGTTCACATCTGCAGAATGTTCAGTAACATCGCATCAAGAGTAGTTTAGAGCTATATGAAAGGCCTCATTTCTGAGCACAAACTGTCCCTGGATCGATACAATTTCACAACCACAGGATTTCAGTAACACCAAATGTTGATAAATGCCAGAAATAAGACACTGCACGATCCAACGAGGGAGGCCCCATCTCAGTGTTGCAGGTACCACCGAGGATGGACATTGGGCCCTGGAAAAGCCCCTCTGTTGTTACTGACCCATTACCCTCAGAACGGAAGGTGCTGTGTTCACTGACAAAGAGAAATGGCTGAAAACTCCTTCTATGATCTTTTCTGTAGCGTGTTAAAAAATAATTTGAATAGCCGGGAATTTAGCTCAGTAGTTCTGCTGCCTGCTTTGCAAGCACAAGGTCCCAAGTTCGATCCTGGTACAAAAAAAGAAAAAAAAAATCAAGGCATAAAAAATAATTTGAATAATCTGAACCATCAACTCAACTACCAATTAAAAAAATCTGCCATGTTGTTGGTCAGTTATTTGACTTTTCTTAAGAAAACAATATTTTCTAGTAGTTTGTCCTTTTTTTCTTATAGGGTCTCACAGAGCCCAGGGTGGCCTCAAACTGGAGGCAATCCTCCTGCCTCAGCCTCCTGAGTACTGAGATTACAGGTATGTACCACCATGCCCAGCCTCATTTTATAAACTTTTTATTTTCCTAGTGTTATTTTATAGATTCCATATTGTTTTTTTAACAAAATGTGAAATATTAAAGGAGACTTCTGGGCTGGATAGCTCAGTGGTATAGCATATAGCATATAATCAGCTTATGTGAGGCTCTGAGAACAATCACCAGCACCAAAACAGAGAATCATGAAAGCTCTGGCCCATCAGGCAGGCTACCACACAAAGTATGGGGCCTGCAACCTTTTCTGACATTAAAAACCTTAAGGTTCAGTGTGTTTAAGAGTTTGTTCTAAGCCAAAAGCCATGGAAAACTTGGCCACAAGTATAATCTGTTATCAAATTCTCCCAGGCCAGTTTTTATTAAGATATGAATACATGGAAAGTGACGAGGTGATGGGGAGTATTTTATTAACACTGTAGAAACCATAGATCATGATTTAAATGTTGCTGACAAGTCAGTAGAAGCAGTGAGGGTGATTTCTTCCCCTTCCCGAGGGAAGAAAACCACTTAAGCCTTGAAGCTAACTGTGCCCCCAGCCCCTACATCCTCCTGCAAAGAGGTGGCAGCAGATGACTTAGCTCCTGTTAGGAAAGGGACAAACAACCTGGAGCCAGCAACTTCGGGAACACGGTAAGGAGAGACACACCTCAGGCTGAACACACAACGCCAACACCGAAACCCATGTCCTTATCCCCTGCACCAACGCAAGGAGCCAACAAGCTGGTTACTTCACCAGACTGTGTTCTGCAATACTTGTCAGTAGGTTGTGCTCAGATTGAAGTAGGCAGTTTGTTTTAGAATTGTACCTTCTTTACGGGATGACTTTTTAAAGTCATTTAAACACTGAAAATTATTTACCAGCTACATCGTTTTGCACATTGCTAGGCATGAAACGGGAAAGACACAAAGATGCTCTTTAATGAGCTGCTTAGAAGAAAGAGACAAATACTGAAATAGAAAGCAGTCAAGTGGGCTAAAATGGAGAGAGAATCTTACCCTAAGGGCAGCCAACAGTTTCAGGTTTTGGTGACTAAGGAAAATCAGTAACTCAGGAGAATTCCCAGGAGCTAAGACACATCTTCCTTTCAGAGCCAATGAAGGAATCGGAGAATACAACTGAATCTTGTCTTCTGATTGAATTTGTTTGTGAAGCTATTCATACTGAAAGTCAGGATCTCTTCAGGGGCACCATTTTTGAGGCTGTATCCTCAGGAAATTTTTACATGTAAAGATAGATGTAAACCATGCTCACCACAGGACTGGTTCATAATTAGAAAATAAGAAAAATATAGAATTGTAACTGGGCAGATTGTGGTCTATCATCCTAAAAATTAACTCGGAAGGTAGTATAAACAAGGAAAATGTTTCTGACGTGTTCACTTTGAAAAGCAGGTACCAAAAGTGTAGCGACTCTGGCTGTCCCAACAGGATATAAAGATGGGGTGGGTGAAACCTGCCATTGGTAGGGAGGCAAATGGAAAATGCTGACAAAAAGGAATCCCTTAGATAGTAAGAAAATGCATGTGTGTGCATTGTTTCAAAATTTCATTTGAGGTTATAACACTTCACAGATAAATATTTTCCAAGCCCCATCTTAACACACTTTGCCCTCGTAACTCTGAGCCCTAAGGAAGGTCGGGCTGTTAGAAGTGACAGAACGCCACAAATGTGATGCAGTGCATGAAATCATTTGATAAAGAGAAACACCGGGCGGTGAGGAAGTTCTCACTAGAGACCAGAAGAAGGTTCTCTAGAAAATGGCTCTCTTGCGCCCATGTGAAAAACAAATTCATGTGTCCTCGTGCTGTGTGGCTTCCACTCTGCAGTCAGCCTTGCCAGGTCACAGGGACCAGAAAGGCCCAGTTCCGCACAGGAGGAACTAAAATCCTTCCTGGGGAATTATTTAAAAAATAACCCAGAAAAAGGAGAGAAAACAGTTGACAACTGAGACTTAAGGAAGATTCAGGAACTTATGAGACAGAGACTTTTAACCCCAAAAAAGGGACAAAGAAAGCACCTAAACCCCAAGGGAAAAGCAGTAGAACATTAAATACTGACAAGGATCCTTTGATTTTTACTTGTTTCTGTGGAGAAAGGGGAGGGATTTTTGTTCTAAATTACATATCAGTTATTTATTGGGTTGTTTCTACACCAAAGCTTACAAAGAAATATACTTCAAAACTATGTAAAAATGATAATATCATGGAATAGCAAATATTAGAATGGATGTAGAGATAATAGAAAGATAGACAGGCAGACATATTTTGGATTTGTTTTTGTTTGTTGAGACTGGCTCTCCCTATGTAGTTCAGGGTGGTCTTGAACTCATTCTGTAGCCCAAGCTGGCTTGAATTCATATTGATCCTCCTGTCTCAGCCCCCCTAATACTGGGACAATAGGCATGCACCACCACACCCCTAGCCCGACCATCAGCAATGAATATAGATGTTCAAAATCAACATTTTTTTTCTCTTTAATCATTTCATATCTTACACCACAGCAGGCTGGTAATTGACTCAGGAAAGAGAAGACAAGGGTCTTTGACAAACCCCATAATAATTATCAATTGCTAGGTGGAGTAGAAAGAGTCAACCTTATCCGCCGACTCAGATTTAAAAGACAGAAATATTTAAGGTCTCTTCTGAGTAGAAGGCAGATGGACAGCCTGGGTACAGAGAGAATGGACTGATTTGGGCTGGGGATTTAGCTCAGTGGTTCCACTGTCTGCCTCATAAAGTACAAGGTCATGAGTTCGATCCCCAGTACCAAAGAAAAATAGGAAAGAAAATAGATGTATTCATTCATTCACCTCCCCCATCATAGATCCATCCAATCATCCACCAGAAATGTGCTGATTGACACATAACCTAGGCACTGAGGAGCATACAGTCTTGTGGGGCCTTAGAAAATAAAAATTTAAGCATTAATACCATCTCTTTTTTTTTTTTTCTGGTATCTGGGATCAACTCGGGACTTTGTACTTGCCAGGCAGAGATGGTGCCACTGAGCTACATCCCTGGCAATTGATACAATCTTAATATTTGTTCATAAACACCATATTCATACAGTATTCTCATCCAAAGTTGAGCCTGAATTTATGAGTGTTTAGATTTTAATTTCTAATTTGCTAAAGATACAGGGGGTATGGAACAAGTTCACGGACACCATAATAAGGAAACAATCAGACAAGTCTAGAAGGTGGGCAAAGCTTTAGTTTCTTCACAAGCTCAGCAGAATGGTAGAAAGGGCAAGGAGTTGAGGATGGGGCAGGAGGAGCTACAACGATAAATGAAACCTGAGGTACTGAACAGGGAAAGCAATCGCGAATCCTGATTAGATTCTGGCTTAGGGTAAGAAAACACAATTACAAAAATATGCCTGGAAGACAATTAGAAAATTCTGAATAAGGATTGAGATTGGAAGTGTTATTTCTGAATACATAATAAAAATTAATTTTTAGGTCTAATCATGGTATTGTAGCTATGTAGGAAATTTCCCTCATTTTTTTCAAAGACATATGCTGAAAATTTGGGGAGTGAGATATGGTGTTGTCTGTAATTTGCTTTGGAATACTCCAGTAAACAGACATAAGTAGAAGGATGAGTGGATGCATACATAAGTTAATATGACAAAATAGAGGCAACCACTGGATCCCTGCTGGACATCTATGAGTGTTGATGTACTATTCTTTCCACGTTTCCCCGCGGTTGAAAATTTACTTAAGCCAATGCTTACAAACAATAAGTTTTGGTACTCTCACTGAATCTGACCACAGGAGCTCACATGCACCCTGTCTCCACCCCGTCCTCTCCAGAGATGGAGCCAGTCCCCAGACCCACAGCCCCTCACCTCAATCAGAGCTGCCTTCTCCCTGTCCTCTGCCTGCTTGGCACTGTCCAGTTCATCGTGCATCTCTGAGAGCTGGTCCTGCAGATCCCTGATCTCGGTCTGGTGCTGTTCCCGCTCCATCTTCACCTGGAAGAGCCTGGCAGGAGAGGCAGCCATCAGACACTTCGATCCCCTGACCTTGATCTTCAGACAGTCACCCCGAGGGACCCAAAGCCCTAGGGAGCCTCCTGGTCTCCATCCTGCCCTGAACAAGAAATCGCCAGCCTGCAAGGACCTCTGGTAAGAACTAATCTTCCCAAGACATCAGATGAGAACTCAAACCAGCAAATGGGAAAGGCTATGAAGATACTCTCCCCAAAAGGAAACATAGGGTACTAAATAAAGTCTGGACACTGAAAATGAGAAAATGATACACACAAAACAATTGTTGATATTTTTTCACCGAAGTCACCACATCCTCCGCTACCCAGTAACTGCATCCATGAAACACTGGCAGGGCTGAGTGGGTGCACAAAAACTGTGTTAGAAACGTGATCTGACAAGGAAAAGCTTGCCAACCACACTTGCAATTCCTGTACCTTTTGAGCTTGGAAGTTCTTTACCAGACCCTCGATTTTCTGATTTTTTTTCTTACTAATTTATTTTCTGAAATTAATTTCTATGAAGGTTTTATTTTTATTGTTATTAAAGTTTTTATTTTACTTGTACATGGTTGCAGCTCATGTAGTTTACAACCATCTAGGTGTATAACAATGGTATTGTAGCTATGTAAGAAAATTCCCTCATTTTTTTCAAAGATATATGCTGAAAATTTTGGGAGTGAGATATGGTGTTGTCTGTAATTTGCCTTGAAATACGTCAGTAAACAAACATAAATAGAAGGATGAGTGGATAAATAAATGAAGTTAATATGACAAAATAGTGACAACCATTAGATCTGTGTTGGGGATGTACATATTAAAGCTTGTTTATTTCTTTTTTTTAAAATTCTTTCCCTTTTCCCCCTTCTCCCTCCTTTTCCCCATCCCACTTTTTATTCTTCTTGACATGATTTGTCCTAGCTCACATTATAGCATATAATGTTCACATTAATGGGGTATTATAGGTTCCTGTACATGGCATATCTTTATTCTTCTTATTTCACCTTCCCTTACTCCTCACCCCTCACTCTTGTTCCCTTGGACCACTTCCCTATTGTCTATAAATGTTTTAAAAGCAAAAATATTCCACCATCACAATCACAAGGACAGCTAAATCTTTATTACTCAATATCCTAGTCTTCCTGATTTCCTCCCTCCAAGCCACTCCAGCTTGACCTTCCACTAAAGGATCCTGTCTCATCCGTAGGGCTTCAGAGCACTTTGTATTTTCAGACCTTAGTTTCAGATCTTTTGCCAGAGATAATACAGTGGCAGCCAGCTTAGACTTGACTTTCCTTCTCTGTTGACTGAGGCAAGCTGGGAGACCAGAAGGCACGTGACACAAGCTTGTTGGAGGCAGAGCCTAGGCTCCTAACATCTGTCCTTAAATGCCTCTCCTCAGAGTCCCCACTTCTTATTCACTTTCCATGAGATACACTTTGAGGAGTGACTACAAGATTATAAAGAATTTTAGCGACTATCAGCCTTCCATACACACCTGCCTGCAGCTGTAACTCACTTCACAGTTTCACAGGGATAAGCGGGAAAAGAAGGGTACGCAGTCCCAGTAAACATCAAGGGGCTGGGTCACCAGAACAAAGGGTCTGGCTGCATTTGATGTGCGAACGTGGACAGGTCAGGGCTGGGGTACTCACTCCTCCAGGCTCTTCTGAAGCTCAGCCTCGCTGTCCTCCAGACGCTGCTGCAGTGCAGCACTGTCCTCCGCCCGCCTGTCCAGCTGGCTCTGCAGCTCTTCCAAGTCAGCTCTCAGGCGATCTCTCTCTTCTTGGATGTTCTGCTGGTTCTAACATGAATCAGTATGATTTCAAAGTCCCTCCATGGCACATTAACATGACCCCATAGAAGCCCACTTCTAGACTTTAAGGAACTCTTTTCTGCTGCACTTACTGTATTAAACAACTTAATCAAATTATATACCTAAGGTATAAGAGTACATGACTAGAGAGAATATATAAATATTTATATTTAATGAATTATAACACTCCCAGAAAACATAGCTAAACTATTGTATAGGTGGTACTTTTGGGAGGTGGCTGGATCGTGGGTATGTGATACTGGATTATGGCTTTGTGGTAACTGGATTAGTCTACTGATTTGTTTAGCATAGTTCTAAGTGTGGATGATGGGAAACCCCACCCTGGATAGTAGGTGGCACCACCCAATAGGCTCATCGCCTGGATGGGACAAAAGGGAAAGGAAGGCTCACTGCTGGCTACTTCCTGCCTGCCCTGCTATGGACTGTTTCTCCTCTGCCATGCACTCCTGCCATGCTGCCCTGCCTTGGAACCAGTGGACTATAAACTGAAAGCTCTACAAATTGTGAGCTAAAATAAATCTGTCCTCCTTTAACTTGTGGGCATTGTCAGGTATTGTGTCCCAATAATGAGAAAGTAACCAAGACAGATTTAAATATACATGAATGTTTAAAATTTTTAAAACTTAGTACAATAAAAAAACACATTGCTATCAACCACTGCAAAATATTCCTCCCTCTTTAAACACACTTATCTCATGGTCCTTGCCACTTTCTAAAGCTGTTCCAGAAGTTCTCTTTTGTGAGTGTCTTTATAAGTTGTGATCAAAAATACAGTGAATACTGCTGCCAAGTGCCAGCCAACAGAAAGGAACACTCATAAATAGATCATAATGTGTTCCGTGATCTGGCACCATGAACTTCTAGCTTTTCCCCAAAGTTAAAATGACCATAAAAGGTGAATGTTTAGAATCAATTCAGGAAACTGAGGAAGCTACGATAGGGTAACTAAAGACACTATCCAAGCAAACAATTCCTCTATGCATTCGTTACTTAAAAAAAAAAAAAATTCTTTGGATACCAGCAGTTCAGTGCATAGGAATTTACTCAGTGATGAAAGGAATGTCTCTTTTGTAGAGAAAAAAAATGGTTTTCACTTCACCTGAGCATCTCAATGTGCTTAAAATATTCTTTATCTAACAAGACTGAAATGAAAAAAGTAAGAGGAAAACCAGATACCTTGACCTCTAGTTGAAGCTGCCGCTGAAGTTCAGCCACTTCTGAGGTCAATTTCTTTTTTTGTTCCAGCAGATCTTTGACTTCAGATGAGGAGCTAGTAGCCTGCAATTAATTGCAAAGATATTCTAATTTACATATCCATGATGCTTTATTTCAATTCTCTCCCCGCAAATATAGTCAGAGTAGTAATACTTAAGGCATAATACCATCTCAAGACTCCATTCAAATATTAACCCCTACAGAACTTTCTCTGAATTCACATAATCATTCTGGCCTCCTGGGGATACCAGTGAACTGTATTTTACATCATTTACCATAGTCAGAAGGATTATTTCATCTGATTTCTCAACACCATTCAAATATGACTAAAATTTGGATAGATGATATACTTGCTGGAGGTCCTTAAAGTATTCTGTAGAGCAGTATGAAATATGAAGGTATTAAATTCAGTATAAGCAAAACTTATGGGCTTTTCCATAATAAATTCTGGATTCCAGTCTACAGAAATCACTGGCTAGGCCAGGGATTAGCTCAGTGGCACACACCTGCCTCCCAAGCACAAGGTCCTGAGTTCCATCCCCAGTACCAGAAAGGGGAGGGGTGATCACTGATTAAGAAAAAATCAGCAACAAAATCTTCTTGTAAGTAAACTGAGAAAGAAATACTTTTCTTCAACAGTGGCACAACATGGTTTAGCTTCCGTGATTCTTAGAAGTACTTTGAGAATTACTACCTTAGATTATGTACTTTGAAGCCATGTTTCATTCACCTTCATATCTACAGAACCCAACACTTCTCTGACATTCAATAAAATCTCAGTTAATGATTTCTGGAATCCTGACTGTAGTCATAATAGAGTAGCTGACCTCAGATTTAGTCTTCCAGCAAAGACTATGAAAGCTACACAAAATACATAACTGTTTACAGGCACCGAAAGCCAAATAACAGAGGATTATAATCTAAAAAGGGAAGAGGTCATTGACGCATCTTCCCTAGGCTTTCCAAGACCACACTTCCAAACCATAGTATACAGTAAAATTTGAAAAGCCCAAACAACATTATTTGGAAATTACAAATTAAAACAATAACATATTACTATATAAAAAAATACACCATTGCCAAGAGGGTTTTTTAAATAAAACAATAAGACATTAGTATGCCCTGATCAGAATACCCAAAACCCAAAGTACTGAAAACAACAACTGCTGCAAGGATATGGAATAAGACTGTTTCACTGTTGGTAGAAATAAAAAGTGCTGCAGCTACTTTGGAAATCTGGTCATTTCTTACAAACCTAAGCATGTTCTACCGTATGATCCAGCAGTTACATTGCTTGGCACTTACCCAAATAAGGTGAAAACGCCCATGTACACAAAAACCTGTACATGAGTGTTTATAGAACCTTTGTTCACAATTGACAAAATCTGAAAGTAACCATGATGTCTGAAGTAGGTTAATGGATAAACTGTGCTATGGCAAATATTACTCAACCCTAAAATCAAATGGGCTATCCATCATGCCATTAAAAGGCACAAGAGAAATGACCATTACTAAGTTAAAGCGGCCAATATAAAAAGGCTATATGCTATATGATCCCAAATACGTAACATTCTGGAAAAGGTAAAACTACAGGCAGTTAAAAGATTCCTGTTTGTTACAGAATGGGGGAAGGAAGGACAAGCAAAGTATAAAGGATTTTTAAGACAGCAAAATTACTCTGCTCGATACTATAATAGTGGATACATGTCATTATTCATTGTCCAGAAGCCAAGAGAAAGCACAATACCAAGAGTAAACTAGATGTAAATGCTGGACTTCAGGCCATAGCAATGGATCAGGGCAGGTCCACTGATTATAACAATGTAACAGTCTGGGGAAGGACGTGAGTAGGGAAAGGGAAATCTGTACTTTCCACTCAATTCTTCTGTGAATCTAAAGCTTCTCTGACCAAAAAAAAAAAAAAAGTTTATTAATTTTTAAGAGGGAAAAAAATCCCAATGGATAGAGGCAGTTCACTGATGAAGGAAACAGAAACTGGTATTTAGAGATGGTAAGGAGAGAGGTTTCAGGGTTAGGGTACTGGGGAGGTGAAAGCACCACAGAAGCAGCTCCAAACTCTAGAAAAAACAAAATACTCCTTGGATCCTTGGATGGTTCCTAAGTTGTATTATGAGCAGGGAAAGATTCAAGAAGGCCAGCATAACCAAGCTATCTATAAGGAGGCAAAGAAACCAACAGAAACTTCAGACTGCACAAAGCTAGGAAGCACTAGAGTTCCAACTTAGCCAACATAGAGAAATCCTAGAGGATATGCTGCCACTCATTTGAGACTGAAGAAAAGAATAGGGGCTGAGCCACAGGAAGAAGGGCTAAAACTTGACCCACCCACAATAGCAATGCCTAAAACAGCCAAGCACATGGCATGAAGGTCACATGCAGATCATCAAAATGACTAAGAAAGTTCTACACTCTTGAAAGGGTGATAATACAATCCAGGACACCTGTAACTTGTCACAGATGTCAGAGATGACCCAGACACAGAAGTTAGCAGATAAGGACTTCAGAAGAAATATGGAGAACAGTTTTTATACAAAGGAAATCATGGATGAAATGATTTTCATGCATACTTAGATTCCATAAATATAATAAAATAGACATTCTAGAATAGCCACACACAATATCTGAAATTTAAGAACTTTTTAGATTATGGTTCTTGAAAGAATTAGCCTTAAAAGAGGATAAAGAAGATGCTTTTTTTTTTTTGGAAGATCCTTTTAAAGACATCTTAATGAGCCTTAAAAGAAGGCTACCATAGCCAGAAAATAAGATTATTGAATTTAAAAGTTCAATAGAAAATATACAGAATATCTGATACCTCAAAGGGGACACACACACATTACTCACACACCCCAAAACATCCACCCACCCCCACACACACATGGACAGGGAACATGAGATATGCAGGTTATCATCAAAAGTGCTAGACACATAACTAGAGTCTGAAAAAAGCTCAGAGAAAATGGAAAAGAAGCAATATGCAAAGAAACAATGGCCAAGAATTTTCAAATCTGATGAATGCCAGCAATCCATCATCAATTCAAGAACACGATGAACCTCAAGTAGGATAAATATAAGAAAAATCACATTTAGGCACATTATAACTAAACATTTTTAAATTGAAGATAAAATATTCCAAGCAGCCAGAGATAAAAGACACCTCCTGTTCATCAGGACAACAGGAAGATGGACGCCTGGCTTCCCAGTGGTGTCCTCAGGGCCAAAAGACCAATCAATGCTTCTCAAGTCATGAAGCAAAACAACACTTGCCAAACTTTCCTCAAAAATGAGAGTAAATGTAAGATATGCTCAAATAACACTGAGCAGAAAAGTACTGTGGGATACAATAGGAAAGTTCTCCAGGATGGAAGAAAACAGTCCTAAATGGAAACACTGGAGTACAAAGAAATGAACAGCACTGGAAAGGAAATAAATCTAAGTGAAAGATATTCACGATCCTGACAGAATAGAACACTGCTGGGAGGAGGTAAAGACATAAACAACTGAGTAGGAAGCTCACATGCATGAACAAGAATACCAATAATGCTAAGATATCAGTTCTACCAAACATATTCATACAAGCAGTACAGCCTCAATCAAAATTGCTGAAGATTCTCACCTCTTCTTGGTGGAAACTGACCAGTTAATTCTAAAGCCTATATGGAAAGACAAAAGACATAGACTAGCCAAGGCAGTCTTGAGGAAGAAGAAAGTTGGAAGACGAACATTACAGTACTAGACTTCAAGGCTTATTCTAAAGTTCTGGTAATTAAATCTTCATGGTACTAACACTGGAGAGGCCAGTAGACCAACAGAATGGAAAAGAGACTAAGTGTTAGCAAGGGCAAAGTGACCAGAACTCAGGGCGCTGCAGCAGGAGGTACAGCATGGATTGCTTCGAAGGCTTTCTAAAACCACTGGTGGTATTTACGAGCCAAACCTAGGCCTACTTTATGATCCATCAAATTCACTCCTAGGTTTATACTCAAGAGAAATGCATGAATACGTTCCCAAGAAAAACCATGTACAATAATACTCATGGTAGATTTTTTTCCCAATACCTCAAAACCAGAAATGTCCAAGAAGATGGTGATCACTGACACAACAGACCACTTCAGATCAACGAAACAGGTCACTGCGAATACAACATGAGTGAATCTCACTGAGATAGCACTGAGGAAAAGAAGGTGGAAGCGTAAGAACACAAATCCTCACTTTTTATTTATATAAATTGCAAGAAAGGGAAAACTAATCCAGGTGACAGAAGTTAGAAGATGATTACCTCCAGAGAGGAAACCAGGGTGGTGGGAATACTGACCTTTGATCTGAGTGGTATTTGCATGGATGCAAACCTATGTTAAAAATTCACTGAAACGTGCAATTAAGATTTGTGCAACTCACTGTGTATTACACTCCAATAAAACAATGTAAAAATAAATATCTTCTGCAGACACATCTGTTGCCTGAGGTTATACCCACAGCCCTGTCCCTGTGCTCCCAGGAATTACTGTGCTATTGTTCTCAGTGAGACTGCTATCCCTCACACTCGGCCTGGGCCTGCCAGCAAGTAGTAAAATAAACATATTTAAGCTAAACTGGCTTCTTTTTGATGCTATATTTCCAAGCTGAAGAGAAACATTATAAAGAGAGACATAATTCAGGAGAGTCTACTAGAAAATATCTCTGATCTGAGCATGAATATTAATGGGTCTCATTTTTCTCCTTCCATGGAATAAGAGGATGATGTTCTCCAAAGGATTTGGCTAAAATCCCACAGTAAAGTGGTTAGATAACTACAGCTATGTGAGAGGAAGAGATAGGAGCATAAATCAGTGCTACAGGAGACAGCGTCGTGGCTTGGATGTCGAGGAATCCAGGTGTGGGTTGTATGTGATAAACTTTCCACCTGTCCCACAGAAGGGATGAGAACTGAGAAGCAAAAACACAGGACCCGCAATTTCCTTAGGCAAAATGAAAACAATCCATTTTAGAAATCTAAATCCAACTCAGCGGAGGAAATCGCGCACTGTTCTTTGCCAAACAAAAACCCTCCCTGCTTTGCCATTTCTGAAAATGGCTTCAGTCTGTACAGAGAGTGTTCTGACATTCTCTCCTAGGGAATCGCTTAACAGGCCCCAAACAGATAAAACTGCGAAACCCCTGCCAGCAAATAATCGGATGCAGAACCTGAGACAGAGAAAAGGGGGCAAAAACTTGTGGGCAATTAAAGTCATAGCTGCCTCATTCCACCTTCTCATCCCTGCCAGGCTTGGAAGCAGCTTCACAGCTCTCTCCCTTCCTCTAATCTGACCTCTCTCCAAAGCTACAAAAGGAACAAACTGTTCCAAACGCAACGGTAGTCATGCCTGTGTCGAATCCACTGACAGAAGCCCATCCCCTGCATGGAAATGGGGACCTCTCTCATAATCTCCAAGGTCCTTCTTACCCGGCTCTTCCTCCCTCACCCTGGCTCTACGTTCTGGCTGCATTAATGACCCCCATCATGTTCCTTCATGCTTCCCTTGACCTAGAACACCCTGCCTTCCCTTCTTCTCACAGAGAGCTCCACCATCTTTTGGGACACCTTTAATTAGTGTCACTGTCTGGAGAAGCGCTGCTCTGACTTCCTCAGAGTGAGCTGGCTGCGCCAGGCCCCTCACCCACAACGACAGCTTCAACACTAAAGCTGCAGGCTGTGTTCTCCCCAAGAGAAATCAAGTAAACAAGAAGCAAGAACCACAGTGATGATTTGGACCGAAGAGTTTCACCAATAACTACTAAGCTGATTTTAAGGGCTACATAGAGCTCCTCAAGTCTGCACAAGCAAGCTACAGGACTCGAAGATTCCCCGTGGGCATGGTAGGCGTGCGCAAACACACGAGGCATGGTCCTGGGCTAGCTGAGGGGCAAAGGAGCCCTAAACACAAAAGAATATGTAAGACCTAAAAATGTCCTCTGTGCATGTTTCCAGAGCTACAAAGCAGCTACTGACAGACTCCCTACTCCTGGCTCCAGGTACAGTAGCATCTCCTCTTTCCCTCCAGGCAGATCTCCCTGGCAGGGAAAGGGAAGCTACGCTACCAAGAACTGAGTCCTAACAAGTGGTACAGGATCGAGGAGCAAGTGTTCTGCTCTGCTCTTTGAAGTGCTGCTTTGTTTCAGGGCACAAACTGTGCTAGCACATGGTAGGTGTTTCTCAGTCATGAGATCACCCCCTAAAAATCTCTAAGCCCCAACTCATATTCAGCAAATCAATTAAACAGGCAGTTTGGAAAGAGCACTTGGTGTCACTCCACTTCTTCCCTCCCTGGGAGCCTGGCTTCACCAGTGTTGGCCTTTTTTTCTTTTCTCTCTCTTCCTTTCTTTCTTGTTTTCTTTCTTTCTTTGGGTTGTTTTTTGTGGGGTGTTTTTTTTTTTTTTT